TGGATGGCTTGAAGGATGTGAGCTTTGAAAAGGATAAACCGTGAAGTGCTTGTCAAGCCAGCAAACAACTGGGCACCACTTGAGTTATTGTGCATGGATCCATTTGGACCAACAACATATATAAGCATTGGGGACAATAAGTATTGCTTAGTGATTGTTGATGACTTCTCAAAATTCACATGGGTTTCTTTCTCATTGACAAGAGTGATGTCTTCAGCGCATTCAAAGTTTTTGCAAAAGGGCTGAAAATGAATTTGAGCTTAGAATCAAGAAAGTGACAAGTGACAATGGAATTGAATTGAAGAATACAAGAGTTGATGAATTTTGTGATGAGTATGACATCAAACGTGAGTTCTCAACCATGTACACTTCACGACAAAATGGCCTAGTTGAGAGGAAGAATAAGACACTTATTGGTATGGAAAGGTCAATAATGCTTTTGAAGAGCAATGTTAGTGATATCTTTTGAGTCAAAGCAATCAACATGGCATGTCATGCATCAAAGCGATTGTATTGCCATAGATTGTTGAAAAATGGGTTAATTAGAACAATGCCATTATAAATTCAATGTTTTTGAGAAACACCACTGCTTCTCATCTAATAGGGCTGGTACCATTATAATTCTTTCACTCTGAAATATACCACTTTGTGCGCTCACAACATGTTTGGGCCCACACACAGTATACAAACAACAGTGTACATTCATAAGGACAAAATGCCCTAATACTTTCTCCTCTCAATCTCACTTACAATCAGGCCCCATGTGTCATCTCCTTCCTTGCCACCCTCTCCCCCTCACCGTACCATACGTTGTTGCTTAGCACGTGCCCTTGCACCCTCTCGCTGAATTACATGACCTTTAAATGGCACACAATCTGATACCTTCAGATTTTTTTAAAGCATCCGTTGATAGTTCTATCAATCTCAATAATAATATTTTACTCATGGTCTTATGATTAAATTTCCCTTTAAACCCTTTGCCACAAAAAGACATAGAGGAAAACTAGGACAAACTTTAGAAATAAAAATCGGAACAGACTAAAAGATTAAATATTCCAAAAGATGAGAAGTGAGCTTGTGTCAACGAAGAAGCTAGTGAGCAACACACAAAAGTAAATCTGGCATAAATCTTGGGCCAAAATAACAATAGTATTGCAAGAAGAGATATGCTACTATTGATCATGATATCAAACTTGTACTTCCACAGACCATAAAAAAAGGCTCCTTATTACTGAAACTACCTAGCTAATTGGATACAAGGTAGACCAAACGATCTTGATGCCCAGCTAACTGACCATGACTAACTCACCAATTGAGAAACCAATGGTAGCAGGATTCATGTTAGTGTATCAATCATTGCATCTTCGTGGTGGTGATGGTGTGTGCCCTTAGCAAGATCTGGAAGATAAAACCATGCTATAGCTCAATTTTATATATATCTACATTTGAATGAATGTAAAAACAGGTTATGTACTTGTGTACCAGATTGGCCTTAAATTTGAGAACCTACCATAACTTCTTATATATCTCACCAATTTTGAGAGACGGCTTGAACCGAATAGGAAAAAAAAGTTTATCTTCATGGATATGAGATTGCAACTTTTCATGTTCATATATTTATTTACTAGAGAACAGGCATCCCCAAAAAATGATCGTCTAGGTGCAGCATATATATGAAATTGCAATTGCAATATTCTAATTTCACAAACCTGGCCACTTGTCCTGACTCTTCAAATTTATGCTGCTAACTGAAATATTACTTATTGTACTATGCATAAAATCCTTGAATAAACTTAGTAATAACAGAATGAGAGAAACAAGAATGTGCATTGCTCATGTCAAAGAAAGGCACAAGAGAAGTACCTGGAGTATAGAAGCTCGTGTAAGGTAAGATAGCATAGTAGTTCCCCTCCTTCGCCTACCTTCTTGACTTCTCTTGACTTGAGATCGAGTGCAAAGAGTCCCACACTTGATACGCTGATGAAAATAGTATTTGTTCCTTCCAGCAAGCCAACCACTTCATATGGGTAGAATGGGTCACTTGTTGGGATAAGTGTCTCGAGTTCCATAAACATGCGGTGTGCCGGCTCACCAATGCTATTATTAGTATCGACTTACCACGACCACTTTAGATGCAATTATCCTTTTCCACGGAAACAAATCCTAGTTCTCCACCATCTACCTCCATGGCCATGGCCATGGTCTCATACTCTAACCCTCCGGGTGACGCAATCAGAGAAAGCACATGTGCACCCAAGTCGAACTTGAGGATGTCACCATCGTGAGAGTAAGAGCTGAAGTACAACGTGTCTCCGATAAGAAGACTAGGTGTTGGCACAAGGCTGCAAGGTCACCAATGGAGATGGAGGGGCTCCACAGCCCGGTCTCCGAAGAGTAGATGGCCACCCATGTCTTAGAATCATCGTCTGACCCTGCAACTGCCACGAGGAACGGACCATTGTGGCAGTTGAGGTGGTCGCAGCCATCCACGGCGCACAGCACAGCCTTAGCTAAAGACTAACTTGTCAGCACATGGTTCTTGCTAAACAAATTACATTTTGGCTCTGAGAAAACTGTAGGCATAAATTACACGACCTTTGAATGGCACACAATCTCATACCTACAGATTGTTTAAAGCATCCGTTGATAATTCTATCAATCTCACTATTAATATTTTACTCATGGTATGATTAAATTTGCCTTTAAACTCTTTTTTTTCTCAATCACGCAAAAGATTTGCGTGTTTTTGTATTAAGTAGAAGAATAGTTTGTTACATCTTGGGTGGTTTACAAGATTAACACTGAGCGCACCCACCCTGCTCAGCTTCTTCTCTAACCTATTACTCGCTGAATTAAACAACCTAGGTGCTTCGCACCGGCCTGGACCCATAGCTCTGCCTGAAGTTTGATGGTTGCCTTGATCGCCGGAATCTGTGTGGCTACTCCGCGGAAACAACGCGCATTACGTTCTTTCCAGATTTCCCAAGCGATTAGCGCGAACATATGGAGTCTGCGCCTCTTGCAAATGACGCTGGCCAAAGAGCTCTCCAGGTCTGCCACCAGTCGACAATGGCGCCAGCTGGTTGCTCGGTCAGAGTTGCCCCAAGTGCCTTGGCTGCCTCGAACCACAACTGCCTGGCGAAGGAACATTCGACGATGATGTGATCAATGGTTTCCGGTTCCTGATCGCACAGGAAGCAGGTTGCCACAAAAGACACAGATGAGTAAAACTTGGGCAAACCTTAGAAATAAAAATTGGAACTGAATGAAAGATTAAATGTTCCCAAAGATGAGAAGTGAGCTTGTGTCAACCAAGAAGCTACTGAGCAACGCACAAAAATAAATCTGGCATAAATCTTGGTCTAAAATAACAAAAGTAGTGCAAATAAAGAAGAGATATGCTACTCTTGATCGTGATATCTAGGTACAAACTGGTACTTCAACGACAGACCATAAAAAAGGCTCCTTTTTACTTATAAACTACCTAACTGGATACAAGGTAGACCAAACAATCTTGATGCCCAACTAACTGACCATGACTAACTGTCCAACTGAGATAAAATAATTTAGTCGTTAGCAGGATTCATAGTAGTGGATCAATCTTTGCATCTTTTTGGAGGTGATGGCGTGTTCCCTTAGCAAGATCTGGAAGATAAAACCATGTTACAGTTCAGTTTTACACATATCTACCTTTGAATGAATAGAAAAACAGGTATGTACTTGTGCATCAGATTGGTCTTAAATTTGAGAACATAGTATAAGTTCTTGTTTATCTATCCAATTTCGAGAGACAACTTGAACCGAATAGGAAAAATAGTTTATCTTCAAGGATACGAGATTGCAAGTTTTCATGTTCATATATTTATTTACTTGAGAACAAAGATCCCCCCAAAAAATGATCATCTAGGTGCATATGAAATTGCAATATTCTAAATTCACAACCAGGGCCACTGATCTTGACACTTAAAGTTATGTTGCTAATTGTGCTACTTTTGTACTATGGCTCAAATCCTTTGATAAACTTATTAGAAATAACATGATGAGAAAAATAAGAATGTACAATGTGCTCATGTTAAAGAAATGCACAACAATAGTACCTGGAGTATAGAAGCTCGTGTAAGGTAAGATGGCATAGTAGGGCCCAAGTTATAGAAGCTCCCAGGAAAGAGCACCTGCATGCATCCCGCCTCATAGGTGACAGCGTGGAGTTTCTGAAGAATTTTGCATGAACAGTTTGAATTTTGTAGAGTCTAGAAAAAATCAATTTATTTTAAATGGGTTTTACCTATTATTACTTCTTTTCTAAATTATAAGTTTTTTTGTTTTTATAGGTATATAGTTTTTGGTACGCACGTGTTGGAGTTAAATGCATAATGCAGAGCCGCATAAAAGCAGAGCATTCCAGAAATTTTGGAACTGGACACACTGAACTCTGAACAAATAGCACTTGAACGTAGATATGCAGACTGGCCACGAAGATGCATCTCCTTGCACGTGTCAGGCGAGACACGAACTTGCCTCGCTTGCTGATGAACTTCTCAACAATTCAAGTTTACAAGTTGTACATGCAAGTGCCTCTCAAATTAAAGCAGCAGATCAGTTGCCCTGCTTCCGGTTCTTCCGGTCGCCTGCCGTTGTTCACTTTGTTGAAGAATCAGAACCGTTCCTCAAAGCAGCCATCTACCAAGTAGTTAAAGATGCAGCTCTTGGCATCACTTCAGCAGCTTTCTGCGCACAACCTGCTCTTGATGCAGATCGTCCTCGTGATCTCATCTATAGAAATCTTGGGTTCGACATTGCTCGCAATGGGTTTTCAGCTCCTGCCTGAACAGTTCAGAGTTCAGACTTCAGAGATGTCATTATTACATAGCACCACGATAAATCTTTTTCACCACTAAAACTGTACAAGGCTCATGAAGCAAAACAAGCCACCAACATTAGTATAGTCGATTCACATTGCAAAAGTCAAGCTTACCTTCTTTTCATCCAGTCACATATTATTACGCATGCTGTTGCTGGTCTGGAGCCTGAACCTGAAGAAAGCTCTGAACCTGAACCTGAAGCAGGCCGCGCGCCTCTGTAGCCCATCCGACAACGAAGCCTTCGCGCGACAACCAGCCCAGGAGTAGCATTCGCGCAAGACGGCCAAGTACACGTGTATCTGGGCCACAGTGGACTTGAGTCCTAGGCGTAGAGGCAGCTGTCCTAGGCTGAAGCCGATTGCATAAAAGAGAGGAAACGTGAGGAAGCAGGCAACTATGCCATAGCTGAATTCAACACTGCTAAGTAGTCATCGCTATTCTGCTCTCTCTACCTTTCCCTTTCTTCCACTGCTTCCGATCTCGTATCCTTACACATATTCTAGTAAGCAACTCAATTTCACCTTGAAGCTCCTTGGGCAAAAGATGCATTAGCATTTCTAAAAGCCAATAAGCATCCACTAAATCCTCATTCCCCACTTTTGTTTAAATTATTCTTTGCTTATATATAGACCTTATGAGTTATGAGCAAGCTGGCATACTGAAAGCCTTAATCTGAACAAAAAGTCAAGCATTTGTAGTTCCATGTGTGTGCATGAGAGGCTAAAACCTAAAATTACTGCTGGGAAACTTGGGCTCAAGGAATCATAGCATTTTAACTTCGAGTTTTAGGCCTGAAAAATGCTTAAATTGGTAGAGAAACAACCTAGTTCTGCAGAACAATAGACAAGACAAAAGAATTTAGCTAATGATCATTCCGTGTGACTCATGTATTGCTAAAAAAGAATCCCAAAATTTCATGTGAAACACACTCACAGTGAAGGCGATAGCATGACAACCACCACAACAAACAAAAACCGCTATACCCCAAAAGCACCGGCAGACAAACACAACCAAGCATGTTGTAGAGAACAGGCAAAAAGCTTGGTGAAAGGGGTTTTTTTTCTCAAAAGTGATTCCTCTAATTCTAATGAGGAAAACATTTACAAATCCGCAAACGCCAAGTAGAGAACCAAGATTTTTTACAACAATGCATCCAACTAGGAGCGTGCCGTCAATGGCATCACCATTGTCAGTCGCGACAGGAACTAGATAGGGCATTCACCAGAAAATCTCCCACCTCCTAAACCCTCATGCCCAAGCACATTGGCCACTATTGTAACACCGAACATGCCATCGCCATGCAATACAAGCCATCGTGACAACTAACGCATCAAACTGCTGCCAGCAGGAGATCGTGGCTACACAAATAATGTCACAGGCACACGTGACATGTCGACACTGTGCTGGCCCAAAAGGGCCGCTACCAACCCACTTAGCTCTGGCCACCGCATTATGGTACTACAGGAGGGCAAGAAGTAGCAGCAACACAGCTGCACACGCCTCCATCCAACAAGCTTCTAGATATGCCACGAGCATCCCTATGCAGGTTGTCTATGCAATACCTGCCTTCCATTGGTTGTCACTACGGCAAGCTAGCAACAGGCATGCATAGCCAATCACCACTGATCCAGACCATGCGGACCATAGCCAACCAAACAGACTCCAACACATCACAAATCCAGACCATGCGTGCCAGGTCCTCCTTGTCTACGGGCTTGCCCCGGCACTCCACACCCAGGGGCGGCGTGAGGTTGCACGGCTCAATGGACACGGCCCGCCGGCACGGCGGCTCGGGAACCTTGTGGCCATACGCTGTCTGGTTGTGCGCCAAGTTGTCTGTCGCCTGCCGCTCCTCGTGCGACGGCTGGAACACGGCCACCGTCTCGCCGCCCTTCGCCGCGTGCTCATAGTACCTCGACCTCAACCTCTCGTAGTAGTCCGCGTAGAGAGACGCCACCAAGATGGCCGTGGAGTTGGAGCCATCGCCATTGTCGTCGCTCCTCGTTGCCAGCACACCATTGTCACTAGCGCCGCCGCCGCCGCCGGTGTCCGGCAGTATGTGCGCCTGTCGCGAGCACGCGAGGATCTGGGCGTACATGTCGTCGGCGGGGATGGAGCCGTAGCTGAACATCCTGATCTGCACACCGATCCTCCGCTTCACCGAAGCCAGGTACGATCGGTAGTACCTGGTGGTCAGACTCCACACGGGGTTGGTCGGGTGGAAGAGGTACCGGGACAGGAGGTGGCTCACGCTCTCCTTTGCCGGGAACAGTCGCCGGAGCTCGTCCTGGAACTCGGCCACCGCGTACGGAGACTGCGCGAAGTAGAGGTCGCTGTACAGCAGCAGCCAGTTGACCTTGGCAAGCACGAGCTGGTGCTCACCGCAGAAGAAGAGCGGGTCCTTGAGCTGCCACCCCATGCTCAGGTACACGTACGCCGGCACGCCCGCCGTCGCGTTCGCGTCCGGGCCGACCACCTTGGCGTAGAGGAGCCTCGTGTACGACTTCTCAATGTGCTGCCCCCGCGGGACCAGGTCTTCGATGGGGAAGTCGTGGTCCACCGGGAGCCGCCACGTCGTGCCCGGGAACGGCTCGCAGAAGAGGTCAGCCGAGTCCGGCGGCAAGGCGGCGAGGAAGATGCGGTCGGTGAGCAGCGCGCGCGTAGAGGAAGCCGCTCACCATGGACAGCATGCGGTTGCCGAGGCCGTCGAAGGGGAGCCACACGACGTAGGTGCACTCCATGCCGTCGGCGCTGCGGCCGGACCGGAGCTGCTCCAAGGACTTGGCGTAGAGCGGCGTGCCGGGGGCGCACCGGCGGTGCCGAGCTTCGTAGGCGCGCAGCTTGCGCTGGAGGTACGGCGACGCCGCGTGCGGGAAGTACTTGTAGTACAGCCACGACTCGTACCGGCTCCGGCACGACCGCCGGTCCATGCCCGCCGGCAGAAGCCCGCCGAGGAGGTCGTCACGACCATGAGGAGCGTTCGTCGTAAGCCCTGGAGGCAGGTGACATAGCTTAGTTTTGTCGATATGCAACAGTGCTCACATGCATACGAGGGACGACCGTACTTACCTGCTGTTCCATTGTTCATGCCTGTGAGCTTGGCGACGTCGATCTGCAGCCTGGCCACTGACGACGCGCTATCCGCTGCTGGAAAACCGAGATTTGCCTAGTGTTTAATGGTTTGCCTAGTGCCAATCGTCGGACACTAGGCAAAGAGCTTGTTTGCCGAGTGTTAGACCCCGGAGCACTCGGCAAAATAAAGGCACTAGGCAAAATAACGATTTGCCGAGTGTCGACACTAGGCAAAGAAATCCACTTGGTAAATGACCATTTTGCCTAGTGTCAATACTAGGCATACCATCACACTCGGCAAAGGCTGCCGGAGGGCAACCGCCGTTACCATTTTACCGAGTGTCTTCCGTTAACACTCGGCAAAATTAGAACTTTGCCTAGTATCTCCGGACGACACTAGGCAAACTAGCCAGTTTGCTAGTGTCTTACAGAGACACTAGGCACAATATTTTTCTTTTTTGATTTTAGCTTCCAATTTTTTCTGTAGCTTTCCTACTATACCTTGACCAACATGTTGAAAGTTGGCACAATTTTATGAAATTTTGCTATATTTCTTTTTATTTTTTCTTTAATTTCTTTGAATTTTTTTGCAAGTGTAATGACAAATGCAAATTTGAACTGCAAGTGTCGAATAATGGCAATTCATGAATGCAAAAATGAACATTCCGCATTTGATAAGATGTTAGGTTTCTAAGCATCATACGTGACGATGTGCTCAAATCTTTTTAAATTTTTATCATGGCACCCGACCCACGAACTCTTGACTTGTCGACAAGTTTCATGAATTTCAGACTCCGTTTTCATTTAATAGAATTTAAAAACTATTTGCTCGCAAGTTCGTGGTCATGTCTCGACGTGAAGATGTGTGAAATTTTTGGTCTGTTTCTGGATACGGCCTCAACTAACACTTACTAACATGAATAACATTTTTGCATTCATGAATTGCCATTATTCGACACACTTGCAGTTCAAATTTGCATTTGTCGAAAAAATTCAAAGAAATTAAATAAAGTAAAGAAATATAGCAAAATTTCATAAAATTGTGCCAACTTTCAACATGTAGTCTCATTTTATGTAGGGAGGCTCGATAAAAAGTTTGAAGACCAAAATTGAAAAAAAATAAATAAGTTTGCCTAGTGTGCCAGCTAGACACTAGGCAAACTGGCCTCTTTGCCTAGTGTCTCATGGAAGACACTAGGCAAACTTATTTTTTATAGTGTTTGCCTAGTGTTGGGTTATCGACACTCGGCAAAGTTAATTTTCAGTTTATATTGTTTGAGTGTTTTTTTATTTAATTTTTTTTTCATAGTTCAAAAACATTCATATTTGCCCAGTGTCAGATCTAGGACATTAGGCAAATCAGTAGAAGACCCGTACTACTTGACCTGGTCAGTACTACCGGTAGAAGACCGGTACTACCGCTAGGCCAAAAACCAGCACAACTGTGAAGACCTGTAGTACCGATAAACTTCCGGTACTACCGTTCAGGCCGGTACTACCGGTAAGTCAAAAACTGGCTCAGTTGTGAAGACCTGTAGTACCGATGTACAGCCGGTACTACCGGTGTATTGCCCAAAAAAAATTGAGAGGGGCAAGGCCCAACCAGCCCTTTCCTGGCCCAAGCCCCCCCCCTCTCACACACCCACCATATGGCCCCACACATCAGCACCTCTTCCACACATAATACACCACCAGCAGCCATCCCTCTCTCTCCCATCTCTCATTCACGTTGGCAACCAGAGAAGAGAGAGGAGAAAGGAGAGGAGAAGGGAGAAGAGAAGAGGAAGATGAAGAGGAAGAGGAGGACGCCCCTCCCACTGCTGCAGCTCGCCGGAGGAGCTCTACCACGCCACCACCTCGCTGAAGCTGGGGAAGATAAAGCCCCATGGTCATCTTCAACTTCAAGACAAGGAGAAGCTTTCCCATGGTCGATCTCTGTCCTTGAGCAACTCCAAGCCAAACTGCTGCACCTAGAGGTCTTCCACGACATGCAAGAGGAGTAAGAAGAGGTGCATCTCCCATGTAGATCGACTTCTTCCCCACCATTTCTCGCTGCCCTAGCTTTGGGGGTAGCCAAGGTGAGGCGATTCTTCTGTTAGGTCTTCTAATTGAGGTGTTTAGATGGTTCTTGGTCATGGGGATTAGTGTTTGTGGGGGGGGGGGGACACCATTTGGATGTCAACCTAGGGTCTGCTGCCCTGTAGCTCGAGCAGTGCTGCTGTTCGTGTGGTTTAATTGACATAAACGATTTTTCCTCAACAAGTTGATAATAAGGAAGTTGTAGAGGACCCTCAGATCTGTTTGCCTGTGAAATTTCATGATTTTAGCATTAGTAGTTTGGGAGTTATGATTTTTCTAAGCAAGCAGCTTTTGACGAAGTCTGGACAAAACTGGATCTAGGGGTTTTTGGAGAAAACATAGAGGCATTATGGGACTCTAGAAATTATAAGAGATTTGTAGTACTTTTCATTAGCTTTCTGGATTGGTAAATATCATGATTTTATCCCATCAGGTTTGAGAGCTATGAATTTTCAAAGTTCGCTGTCAGGTTTGGACTGCATGCTGAACAGATCTGAAGTTTGGTGTTTTCTGACCATGTTAGCATCAAAACTAGCTTTTGTTGATAACTAGGGAGTTGTTGTGTTTTTCTTGAGCTTTCCAAATTATTAAAGAACAATAGTTTTGGTTGGCTAGAACTCCAGCTATGAGTTTCTGAAGTTCTCTGTCATGTTTCATCAGTAAAAGTTTCAGTTAAGGTTCGTCATGATTTTGGGCATCCTGATGACCTTTGATGCAAATTGGAATAATACCAAAGTTGTAGATAATGGATTGATCTATAATCCAGTAAAGTTTCAAGATATTTTGACATAAGGATTTCGAGATATAAAAATATTAAGTTTGCTGTCCTAATTTTCGGGCAGATAATGACTTCTGCTTTCATTTGCAGTTTATGCCTTCTTAAAGGCATGATAAAAAATAAAGTTTCTATACAAAGGTTATAGGGGTTCCTCTAACATACATGGTGTACGAGAAGTAGTGGTACAAATATGCATAGGATGGATAAATGATGATGTTGGCGGTGATTGTGTTAGTACTAGTTGTTGTTGTGTTAGTAGATGTAATTGCTTCCCTTGATATATATGTGTTTAGCGGCCATCGTGCCGTTGGTTCATTGCAGGTTTTGAGAATCTCACCGTACAGGGGAGGTGCTGCCGAAATTTTTAGACGTCTTCATTCGTTTTGTTTTTATTTGCAGGAAAAAGAAGGTGAGAAAGGAGCAGAGGCGACCCTGATCGTCTTCCTCACCGGTGTCGGTCTACCTGCACCGACCCTCCACGGCCCCGCTAGCCTGACTCCACCGCCACCTTAGGTATAACCCTTCTTTCCGTATCATGGTTGTAGGTGGCGGCCCAGTTAGGTGTCTCCTGCTCAAATACATACAGTTGGAGGTATGTAAATCTTTGCATATCGATAACCGTATGTGTTTCAATTATCCACGCTTTTTGGACAGCCCATGGGTTACGTAGATAGATTAGTTTTCATGGTCTCTCCTATCCGAGATAGAGTTTCAGTATCACCTCCCCGTTGTTCTCCGGATACACTCTCCTTGTCAGGACATGTATTTGGAGAACAACGGGTAGGTGCTGCCGAAATTCATTCTTAGATAGGAGTAGATCATGAAAACTAATCTCATCTACACATTCACGGGTGGGATTAGGACCTATCCTCACCTATTAGATGGTAGGAACACCGTGTAGATGCAATTGATGCTTATATTACTCGCTGATACATATGTTAGAGGATGGATGACCGTGAGTGGACGTACACGGGCCACAGAAGCAAGGTTGATTTCACCAAAGAATGGATGTGCAAAACGGATGAGTTCTTGGAGTCAGCTTTTGGCGAGGCTGGTGGCAGACCTATTAAAGCTTTGTGTCCCTCGCAAAGAAATGTACAAACAGAAAAAAGGCAAAACAAGGTGAATGTGGGTAAACATCTAGTGAATAATGGGTTCACGCCTTTAACTATACCCGTGGGTCCACCATGGTGGCGGTGTATTGATATGTATGTTCTTGACGGTCATCGTGCCGCTTTGTTTTCTTGTGGGTTTGGAAACCTCTCCGCAGGGGAGGTTCTCGCCAAATTTTTATTGACGGTATCATTTTCATTTTTTTTCAAAGATCAATCGGGCATGGCATCGAATCAAATTGGAGGGTCGCCGGCTTCACAGATTGGAGTGTCGCCACACACCACACCTTGAGCCGAATCAAGTGGAAGGGTCGCCGGCTTCACGATTGAGCGTCATGCGGCACCACGCCTTGAGCCGAATCAAGTGGAAGGGTCGCTGGAGCATCAAACCACGGGCCTCTTCACCCTTGACAATCGTCGTAATCAGCTTGTTGTGAACTTTGTTAAGAAATTTGGTTGTGCACTTATGAACTTGTGAACTTGTGGCACATTTGGACTTTTGGTATGAACATGTGATATATGTGAACATGTGGTTCTTATTTATGATTCATGTGATATATTTGTGGTGTTTGAATATGATTTATATTTGTGTCGCAAATGGAATAATCAAAAAAAAATTCAGCTTCTGGTTACTTTGCCAAGTGTCAGGGGTTTGACACTAGGCAAAGGGGCCACACGTGGCACACCTGGGAACAGGCTTTGCCTAGTGTCAGGAAACTGACACTAGGCAAAGTAGACAGTTTGCCTAGTGTCGGAGGCCTGACACTACGCAAAGCTTGGCATATTTGCCTAGTGTTAGCGGCCTGACACTAGGCAAAGCTTGATATATTTGCCTAGTGTCGGACGCCTGGCACTAGACAAACCTTGCATACTTTGCCGAGTGTCAGAC